TAGTTCAATTGCTTTGATATTACATATTTAGATACTACATGTAGACCTTTCTCAGATTTGTTCATTTCGTGATGATATCTTGGATTCTATAATTTTGGTGAATATTTTTGTCATATTTGGTAAAAAGTGATATTTTCGACTTCTTGTTAAAAACCAAAAGTTCAATTGCTTTGATATTACATATATAGATACTACATGTAGACCTTTCTCAGATTTGTTCATTTCGTGATGATATCTTCAATTCTCTAATTTTGGTGAATATTTTGGTCATTTTTGGTAGAAAGTGATATTTTCGACTTCTTGTTAAAAACTGTAAGTCCGATTGCTTTGATACTATACATATTGTTCATTTTCTGATGATGTCTTCAGTTCTTTAATTGAAATGTGCATTTCTAACAGCGGAGCTATCTCAGCCGATAGGCTGCTTGTTTATTTCGTGATGATATCTTCAATTCTCTAATTTTGGTGAATATTTTTGTCATTTTTGGTAAAAAGTGATATTTTTGACTTCTTGTTAAAAACTGCAAGTCCGATTGCTTTGATATTACATATATAGGTACTACATGTGGACCTCTCTCAGATTTGTTCATTTTGTGATGATATCTTCAATTCTCTAATTTTGGTGAATATTTTTGTCATTTTTGGTAAAAAGTGATATTTTCGACTTCTTGTTGAAAACTGTAAGTCCAATTGCTTTGATATTACATATATAGGTACTACATGTGGACCTCTCTCAGATTTGTTCATTTTGTGATGATATCTTCAATTCTCTAATTAATTTATTTTGGTGAATATTTTTGTAATTTTTGGTAAAAAGTGATATTTTCGACTTTTTGTTAAAAACTGTAAGTCCGATTGCTTTGATACTATTCATATTGTTCATTTTCTAATGATGTCTTCAGTTCTTTAATTGAAATGTGCATTGCTAACAGCGGAGCTATCTCAGCCGATAGGCTGCTTGTTTTATTCCTTGTTAAAAACCGCAAGTCCAATTCCTTGGATATTACATATATAGGTACTACATGTGGACCTCTCTCAGATTTGTTCATTTTGTAATGATATCTTTAATTCTCTAATTTTGGTAAATATTTTTGTCATTTTTGGTAAAAAGTGATATTTTCTTCTTGTTAAAAACCACAATCATTTATGGTGAAAAATGATATTTTTGAATTCTTGTTGAAAACAGCAAGTCCCATTGCATTGATACTATCCATATTTTCATTTTCTAATGATATCTTCTGTTCTTTAATTGAAATGTGCATCGCTAACAGCGGAGCTATCTCAGCCGAGAGGCTGCTTGTTTCATGTTATGCATCTCAAATAGCAGACAAAAATTAGTTGCCAAGCTTTTCTTTTGAAAAGCAAATCATAAATTTTAATTTTAATGTGTCCCTAATATTCTTTAAGCATACAGGAGTTCTTTCTAAGCTTTCTTTGATTTGTCTGTGGCATCTCTAACATTTTCTAATTAGCTTAGACCTGATCAGAATTAGTGACAGATGGGTTGCACCATTACCAATCTCAGTGGAAAATGTAGAGGGGTGTCAGAGCTACAATTTGATGGGAATTATAGTGATGATAATGAAACAAACCCAGGTCCTGGTAATATACAAAGTCAAGTTGTTATTAGTCCCCGTTCGGACGCAGTCCGAAAACGGGGACTTTAATATGTTTTGCTCTGTGTGCGTCCGTCCGTCCGTCCGTGATCACCTGTATCTCGAACATGCATGGACCGATTAAGTTTAAACTTCACTCATACATCACACATTATATGGGACATATGCACATGCATTTTTTTCATGATCTGATTAACGATAGCCGAATAGCGGCCATTTTAAGGCCGAAAATGCATCAAAATCGCACATTTTCACCATTCCGGACCCGGATCTCAGTTATGCATTGACGGATTTTGTTCAAATTTGGTACATACATTAAACATAATAGGACCTTGATGCACGTCATTTTTTTTTTTTTTTGGATCGGGTTCGAAATGGCCGACTGGCGGTCATTTTGTTTTAAAGAATTCAGTTCTGGATCCGTATCCGAGACATGTCTGGATTGATCAAGTTCAAACTTCACACACACAAGGTACATCATGTCACAAATATGTATGTGCATTTGTTTCATGATCTCATT